GTGATTGGCTAATTAGAAATGAAGTGTTAACGAGCAGTTGGACAGGTGTACCTAATAAAGTGGCCGGTGAGTGTAGTTTCCATGAGCTTTTAGCAAAGATTCGTAGCTTTCTATTGATACCAAACAGGTCCAGGTTCAACTGACAGTTAACAGACGTTAAAAGATACAGAAAACAGGAAATGCTGTTTTGGGGTTCAAGAGCTTAATGCAAAGAACACTATGAAATGTAATCTTCTGCTATTTTCTCCTATTTAATAAAAAACAACAAAAAGCATCGGTTTACCTCTCCCAGTTCTCTGAGCTTCTTCAGGAATCTTCTTTCAAACACAGTTGGGTCCTCTGGTGTTTTGTTTTGGGGGTTGATAGGAAGTCCTGAAAGATCATATATATTTAAAACATTTGCTGGGTCAAATATATACTTTTTCTTTAACAAATGCATCCATGCGTCATAGGAAGTCTATTGTGGTCAAGAGTGGGAAGATTTTCTCTAGAATTTCTTTGTGGTGGTGTAACCGTTTTACACTGGTTTCCACCCAAGTCGCTGCTTTATTACTAATAATATAACTTTTATAAAACTGTTTTAAAACCATCTAGCTTTCTCACTCTTTGACAGAAATTCCAAAAGGGGTCATAACCTCCCCAAATTTTGTAAAAACAGATTGTTCACCCAAAGAAATACTTAAAATATGTTGAAGCTATAAAGAAAATAAAACATAGCCASCATTTAAAATAATAAATCATAATTTGTATTAAGGGTAACAACAAGTTTGTTACCCAGAATAATAAGATGAAACTTCCAACCTCGTTTTCACAGGACTTAATGCACCTTGAAGCCATTTTAGGGTTTTATTAAAACAAAAAATGAAAAATAAACTGGTCTACAGTTAAATAAAACCACCTGCAGTGTCTAAATCTGTCCAGTAGATGGCAGAGTGAAGACTTCTTTATTTGCAGGGAGGCCCAGATGAGGGGCAGCTCACTGATAGTGCACTCAGTGAACTTCCTTGTGAAGAGCTGAACGACAAAAACAAGTCTCTCCRAGGCTGAACTTGCATAACTCTCAGGTCATTTTTTGCAAACGTAAACAAGAAGCGCAGTTCTAGTTTTAATCATGGCGCTGCGCAAGTTATCGTCACGGTTTGTTTTTGTTTGCTTTTCTGTTTGAGTTTTTCTGATTTTATCTAAAGAAAAAAGTGGTCAACTTTGACACGGTGGTATAAAACCAGCTGATGTGATGTGACTAATACTTTCCTTGTATGTAAACATTAGCTCTCTGCTCCACAATGCTACACACACACACACCTGGTATCCTACTGCCAACTCTTTCCAGGTCCCTGACGATAGCCCTGAAGAAAGGTCTCTTCTTGGGGTTGTAGTTCATGCACTGAGTCATGAGGTTGGCGAGTTCTTCATATTCGGGGGTGGCCAGCTGGCACTCCTTCTCATAAAATCTCTCTTTCTGCTCAGAACAGGGACATGAAGGGAATACATCGGGAAAATAAAAAAAGGCAGAATTGTCACCATTTGTGTCTCATTTCTGCAGGACCCCTACCTCCGTCAGCTTCTTCTCCTTGAGGGGAACTTCTCCATCAAAGCAGATCTCCCACAGGGTGGTACCGAATCCCCACTTATCAGCTGGCACACTCAGGGATGATGCGTCTTCTATGCATTCTGGGGCGATCCACGGGACACGGTGAACGCGCTCTGTAGGGGTAAAGTCAAAGGTGACCTCATGTAGGAACAGTAGCTGCGTTTCCATTGACCATGAAAATGCGCAAATTACGATTTCGAAAATAAGTTTGCTCAATGGAAACAGGTCAATTTCGAAAAAAATTACGTTTTTCGACAAAATGTTTTTGCGCTAGGATGAGGTGGTTTTTCGGCCGTATCGAAATTGGTGTTTTTCGCAAAGCTGCAATGGAAACACATTTTTTCGCATCACGGGAGTCACGTGATCAACAACCGGTTGTTTCTACTGGTGAAAAAGACGACGACGAATGAAGAAGATAACAGGAAGTAGAAATAGTAGTAATATCACTGAAGTAGTATAAAATAGTAAACTCACCAACTACAATTTCCCAAAAACCCAGCATACGTAGCCGCTCCCAAGTAGGGACTTGTCGCTGGAAAGCCTCGATAAAAGACGTCAACGTTTCCTCTGATGATGAGCGCTAGTGTCGCGGTAGCAACATGCTATGTGTTTACATCCATCGCCGCCATGTTTGTAATGACTTATCGCGAGAACAAACGTATTCACGCCTGACTTTAATGGCATTTCTTACTTAATGGAAACACCTCAGTTGCGAAACTGTGTTTTTCGACATTAACAGAATATCGACAAAGTTTTGCGCACATTTGCAATGGAAACGCAGCTAATGATGTAATGAAGTCAGGTAAAATTATGTGTAGGAATTGTGGGGAATACCAATTTTTTTTACAATTATGGTAGTTTTTTGCCAGCTTTGCAGATAATTAAACAAAATATTAATGTCATATATAAAAATGAGATGCAGAAGTGTATTTAATAAAGCACGTATTTTACAAGAGATGTTTACAAGGGGAAGTTTGAGGAAGTAGATCTTAAGATTGATGAGTCATGCCTGTTAGCAAAGTCCAACAAGTAGAGCCAGTTAGGGTGGAGTTGTGTCATCCTTCAGCTACTTTTTAATCACAGCTATTCTTGGTTTAGAGTTGTTTGTGTCCATCGGATTGCCTTAGAGTGCGCAGTTTTAAAAAAACAAACCAAGTGGAATTTACTTTATTAGGTTCTTAATTAGGTTTTGACATTTTATGTTGCACCATCCTCATACATGGAGCTTTGTTTTGGTGTACTCCCCGTCACTTTAAGGTGAAATTACTGCACTTAAAGAAAAAAATCATTGTGAGACACCAATTAAAACTTCATCTACTCTAGAGGATGAATTATTTGGTGTTCTCTGCCTGGGATGTTTTTTTTTTAGAGTATATAATATAGATCAAGCGTGACCATCTTTTCTTGTTGTTGAACCGGAGCCAGCAGGACCGGTTTTCAGAAGCCGCTTTGCTGAATCTTTAGAACCAGAGTCTGTCTACTAGGGATGTGGGGTTTTAAGTCCCGCCTACTTCACCGCACCCAGTCATGATACTACTAGGCCTGTCACGATAACAATGTTTTAAAAATAAATTTTAAATTCTGTGATCATTTGTTAAACTATTTTATACAATAATTGCATATTTTAGGTTAATAAATATGGTTAGAATTAAAATGTGGAATTTAGAAAAAAAATGGAA